AACACTACGCACTTTTATATCTCTTTTTCTTTCACAAATATGTCCAGTTTGTAAAAAATATGAATATAATGAAATATATGAATAATAAAAGGACTTTTATTAAGTTTTAGCATAATTTCAAAATAGGAATAGTTATCTTGAATTTTTTTCTTAAAAAATAATAAACAAGTCATATAAATATGGACATAATAATGAAGTTCTGATATAATAGCGCCAGTTGCAACAAGTTTTTTGGGAGTTATGTATGTATTTGACGTTGTTGTTTCTTGGGGAAACAGAGATTTCAAACGGCATTTTTTTTATTAATTAACATAACGCCGCATTTTACTATGTAAATTCTATTGATCACATGCGGATCGGCAATTAATATTTTACTTTCTATAAATGCACACTCTCTCTAAGTGCACATTCTACTATTTTTTTACTATGGTCCCAAGGGGGGTACACTTAAAGAGGTATCACTGTATATATATATATATATAAATATGGTTTTTTCTTTAAATATTAAATTTAATTAAAGTATTTATTTAATAATAAATTGCAAATTTTTACCTACAAAACATGTTTCACTTAAATAATAAATATTTTCTTTTTTTTTAAAAAAAAAATTTTTCTCTATTTTTTAAACATGAATTTATTTTATATAATTTTTAGTTTTAGCAATATAAAATATCTAAAAAACAAATGCATTAATATATAGAAGATGAGAACCTATTATTGAATATTTTTATAAAAGAATTTTTCTAACTATTACCTGGGATGATGATCACTGGTGACTGAAATTATGACAATCAATTAGCATTAAAAAAATATAGTGCCAGTAAAAATTGATAATTCTGGCCAATGGTGATGATCACTCTCAGTGATTTAAAATAAAAGCCTTTATAAAATATTATACAAAGAAAGTAAAAGATTAAGATAAAAATCGTACAATAAATATCTAATATATATTTTTAAGTTGAATTTATAAATGTATATATATATTAAAATAGGATCCCAGATATCTAATATAAAGGTTATAATGGACTTTTGGCTAAAAACACTACTTTTTGCTAAAACTCAAAAAATCATTTTTTGTAAATATCTTAGCATCCAGTGATTCAATTTTAATGAACTTTTTTTATTTTGTAACCCTTATTTAGCTCTACAATTTAAAAAAAAGTTCATTAAAATTTGACTACTAGATGCTGAGATATTTACAAAAAATGATTTTTTGAGCTTCTAAAAAATGGGCCAATTTGCTGAAAATGTGACTTTGCATAGTTGCTTCTACTTTGGTTGGAATATATCAAGGGGGGAGATCTAGGAAGTGTTAGTATTAGCGATTTTTCTTTTGAATTTTCTTTTAATTTTAATTTCTTTCTAGGAGACTATATAGCTTTGTTTTTAGTTAATTTTTTTTATTTTATTTTCTTTTTTCTCATATGTAATTTTGTAAAGTTTGATAAATAATTAATAAAGATAAAGGCTACTATGCCATATTTGACTGAAAATGTGACTTATGACCTGTTTTGGAGATATCCAGGGTCCTATTAAAATGATTACTTTTCCAATACTATTTGGATCTTTTATATTATATTTATTATGATAAAATTATTTTTTTAAAATATTAGCTTGCCAAATTAGCAAAATAATATATAATAAAATCATAGAAAAATATATTAGAAAAGAAAAAGAAATGAAAGATGGAGTTATAGAAATTTAGATTATATGTAAATATTTAGAGATTTAAAAAATGTTAAAAGTATATAAATTTATAATAAAAGTTTATCAGATGATAAAAAATTTTTAATATATTATATAATTAAAAACAAAAAAAAATTAACTAAAAAAAAAAGAAAAGTATTATTAATATTACTAACAAATATTTTAATAAATATTTAATAAAAGATAATAATTTTTATCTTTAATAGCAACATAAAAATCCTAATATATTAGATAATAAAATTTAATATATAATATTATTAATAAATAATTAAATTATTTTTTAATTATATTAAAAAAATATATATTTTTTTTAAATAAAAATTAAAATTAATAAGCATACATTTTACTTTTATTCTTAATTCTATTGGTAATATAATATATAATGTTTGATCGAACTGGACTGGAGCTGGAAGTATCATTCATAGAATATTTGTGATTATTATGTAATCCAAATATATTCTAATAAAATGGTACATGATTCAACATTTAAAAAAAAAAAAAAAAAAAATAAGCATATATTTAATTAATAAAAAAATTGTTAAATTTAAACAAAAAATATAATTATAAATTAGAAAAATATATATTTTAAAGAAAATTACAATTAAAATTAAGAATTTTCTAACTATCACCTGGGATGATGACTAGCATTAAAAAAATATAGTGCCGGTAAAAATTGATAATTCCGGCCAACGGTGATGATCACCCCAGTAAAAAAACCTAAAATTAATTATTCTAATTATATAAATAAATTTTTTGAAATTTTAAATAGTTATCCAATAATATAATAAATAAAGTAAATAATTACAAAATTATTAATTATTTTCTGATAAATATTTTATTTGATTTAATAATTAATAAACTCACAAATTGCACTTCTTGCAAAAAAAAAAAATAATATATTTGATTTAAAAAATGAAATTTTTTTAATTTTTAATCAGTTAATAATTAATTTATATGTTTATTTAAAAATAATTATAACTGGAATATAAATTAAAAAAAACCCTTTTTATATATTTATTTTTAATATATTTTTATATAAATATATATATTATATTAGAAAAAATTGATATCTTCATAAATATTTATGTATAAACCACCTAATTTTACATAGATATTTGCCTCTTTTAGGTCCAAGCACTTCATCATTAAGTTTATATCTTTTTAAAGACTTTCACCATATTCACTTTTACATGTGAATATTATTTTATTTTGTTTATTTAAGAAAAACGATAATTGGAAGAAGACATTTTTTTTTATTTTCGATCTGATTTAATTCTCCCTCTATATTTATACATAATATTATAAAACGTCTCGGGCACGTGCCATTCCATCATATTATAGAGAAAGCACTCCCTCGTACTACCAGTATTCCATCCAAAAAATTCCGGACTATAATTAGAAATAAAAATAAAAAATAATGGTCCCTTCACAGTCTTCCACCTTGTGTATGCCTGTCTAACATTAACCTCATCTTGCCCACAGATAAAATCCTTCAATTCCCAAAAATCCACCCCACTTTCGTTCGTAACTCCGGGCCCTCTTAAATCATCCGCGATCACCACCTTGTCACCCTGTGTCCAATTAAAAAATTCATCGCTCCTCTATTAAACCAAGTAGCACTGGGCTCCAACATCCGTGCCCACGTGCTCTTTCCTGTACCATGTGCTCCCCACAAATATAACGATTTACATCTCTCTCTTCTACTACACCTCTCTATCTGCTCTTTACACTACCCATTCAAAACTCTCGTCCAGTTAACATCTCTCATTGGCCTATGCCAATTGGGTGGTGTGTAAGGCTCAACGACCCGCGTTGGCAACACCCAATTTGCATACTTACTAGCATTATGAAAATTGGCCAATAGAGCCCCAGGCTTTAAGGCATTAGCCTCCTGTAAAAAGTCCTCAGAAGTCCTGCTTCTTTTTACCATCTCGAACACTTCATCATCTTCAAATCCTCCCTTCCTTTTCTTTTTACCACCTGCGTCCAGCGCTTCAGGCCACGATTCAATAAGGAAGCCAGCTTCCTTAGCCTGCTCTATATTTTCTTGATACTCTTTCCTCACATAATTTTAAAATTTTGTACCTTCTGAGTATTGGGATGATAGACCAATCCTCATCTTCCACATCCATAAAATTAGCATCATTTACATTAATTTTCTTTTCAAATTTCATAAGAATATGGGTGTGGAACCCTCCCTCTTGATGCGCTTCTCTCCCAGCAGAGAAGCCCGAAATGACTATGGCGTTACGCCTATTATCCAATTTAAACCTAAGTAATTCGATAATTCGGCCAGGCATAAGAGGGCACTGGGAGAAGGTAACAAAAGCAGTAGCTGAGTTGAAACGAATTTGTTGACATTTTTTTAAAATAATTTTTTTAAAAATAATTTAGGAAAGAGTTACGGAAAACATTACCTCTTTTATAGATAATATATTTACATACTATTTCCATGGATTTTACGCATATTCTTTTTTATTTAATATATAATTTTTATATATTAATTATATAAAATTGTAATTATAAGCTGATAATTATAAGCAAATTAGATTTTTAAACTATTTTATTTTTTAATTTTATAAAAAGTTGATTCGTAATTCTTCAACAAATCATCCAAATTTCATCTTTACATCTAGTAATTTTGACTTGTGAGAAGAAAAAAACCGAATATTTCTAAATTATTTATCCAGGATAATGGAAATCCACAAAAATTAAGAACAATATAATCGTATTGGTTCAATTATTTACAGTATTTTGGCAGCAAAATACGGTAAAAGAAAATAAAAAAATAAAAGAAGAAATAAAAATAATAAAAATATAAAAAAATTAAAAGAAAGAAAAATTGAACCAATACGATTGTTATTTCTAAACAATAATAATCGTATTGGTACCGTATTTTGCTGAGAAATTATATTATAAAATGAATTAATGAGCACACCACTGTCAGTGAGAAGATAAAGAAATTAAGAAAGAGCGTGAAGAAATCGATTCTCGTGATCCTCATTGCGAAAGTTGACTAATCAAAATCAAATCACTATTAAAAAAAAATAAGCATTAAAGTCAATTTTTTAGAAAAAACTAATTTAACAATTAAAATAGATAATAAGAAAATAATTTTACTTTTGTTTTATCAGAATGCTCCGCTTCTTTTCCTTGTTGATTATATGAGTCTTGAAAGTTCTGGCAATGTTTTAAAATTCTACCAGCCTTTCTATGGCAAAAAATACTTAATTTATTACTAGTACCACTTCTCTTGTCCATTAAAATAATATAATTTTAAAATTTGACCCATTTAGGAAGGAATTTTATTTTAAAAACGGAAGAATAAGTAAATTTCGTTCCTAACTCGCTAAACTTCATGTCTCTAATAAAATAGGAGAAGACCACAAGTCCACTCAATAAATTTTATTCTTAAGTGAGAAAATTTATTAAAAAATTTCCCCAAAATTTGTCGAACTTCATTTCATAATTCCTCTGGTTTAAGAAAGAATAAATTTAAACTCCCATTCTTCGATATCATACTTCCTCTGGTTTAAGAAAAGGATAAATTTAAATTCCCATTCTTTGATATCCAAGAAAGAATCAATGATCCCTGCTTCGACTTCGAAAAAGAATATAGAAGGCCTTAATAACCAGATTTCGCGAATTTGTCCGTAAGAAAAACAATAAGTAAAAGAAAAAAAAAGAAAGAGACGCTAAATTCTAAAAGCAAACCTACCGAACTTCGTTTTTAATAGGGAACTCGTCAAACTTGTCCCTTTAAAAAAGAAGGAATTATCCCAAACAAAAAGAAAAGAATTGCCCGAATTTCGTTTCCAGTATTCTACTGAAAAAAAGAAAAAAAAATTATTTTAAACAAATCGATCTTGTACGACATTAACTAATGCAGGTACTGTACTTTTGCAAAATCTCACAACAGCATAATTCTGGTGTGACTTTACAAAAAATGTTAGATCGCGTCTGCAATTTTCAAAAAATGTATTTTTACGTCTGATACTTATATTTTAAAGCTTAAAAGCTTATAGACAAAAATATCTTATATGGCTTGGACGTTTGGTGAGTCTTCTTTTTTTTTAACCCAAACAGTTAATTATACTTATTTCTTTGGAAAATATTATTTTTGATGCTAGCTTTTTATTTACTAAATTGCAAATGTCAGCTCATCCACAATACGTGGGATGTTCACAACCCAGGTGGTACTCTCTGACTCATAAATTCCAACGCATCTTATCCTGAATAGCTTCTCAGCTAATGTCCGATTATATCGCTCGACAATAGCCTGATTTTTATGTGTCCTACCTTCTCGGTTGCATGGTCCTCAATTATTTTAATTATCATTATTTGTGTCTTCTTTTCAAACAAGTTTAATTATTTAATAATTTATAATTTTTTTAAATTAGGTCCCATTGTTTCGTTACATAAATAGTATGATATTAAGAACGGGGAAAGTCGAACATTTTTATTAAAGAAGCGTTTCCATTCATCATGCTTTATTAGTAATCAAAATATCATCTTTCCTGCATTAGATGATGTATCATAGCATACTTGCATAAAACGATAAATTCACAAACAATATTATTTATATCAAAATTTGGAAAGATGGATTTATTAAGAATGGAACAATAATCAATAGAGTAGCAGCTGTCACTTTAAAATGTTTACATGACTCACAGTAAACATAATTAAAAATATAACTTTAAAAAATACGGTGCATACTCATAATCATTGGAAATTTTGAGCGAAGTAAGAAAATTTTTCTTTTTTAAATTGTTGAATTAAATTTTATAAATGCAAAACTATAAATTTTTATTTACTATAATAATATTTTTCAGATTGAATCGCGTATTTTAGCGACAATGATGGTTGCTGAGTATCTCGTTGTTTCAGAATCATAAACAAAACAACAACCTAACTACTATTATAGTGAATGGAATCAATAGTAATAACAAAGATGATGATGAAGAATTCAACGAAAATTCAATACAATTACCCCGTTTGTTTGCGGGTGGTGCTAAAATAACATCGATAATTGCGTTTTTCTATGAGAACATAATCTATCGACATGGATGTCCTCGTGAATTGTTAAGGAGCCCATTTTGTAAACGAATTGTTAAATTCGGTTAGGTGTGAAACATCGATTGTCCACTACTTACCTTTACCATATTGATAGTAATTTAGAAAAGATGGATTTATTGAAGGATGGAAAAATAATCAATAGGTTAATAGCTGCTACTTTAAAATGTTTATATAACTCTCGCAACTTTACAAGTAAACATAATTAAAAAATAACTTCAAATGCTTATACTCATAGTCATTGGAAATTTTAAGTGAAGTAAGATAATTTTTCTTCTTTAATTGTTGAATTAACTTTTATGAATGCAAAACTATAAACTCTTATTCATTATAACAATATTATATTTTTCAGATTGAATCACGTAATTTAGCGACAATGATGGTTGCCGAGTAACTCGTTGTTTCAGAATCACAACAAAACAACAACCTAATGCTTCCAATCACTACTATATTAGTCAGGACAATTCGAGTAAAACGAATCAAGAATTTTTTCACCTGAAAGAATAAATCGAGTCAGAACTTGAATCAGAACTCAAGTCAACTCGAGCCAATGCCATAGTGTGAGCAAAATTGTTTATAATTTTGGCCAACCCGCACTATGGTCTTTAGATTATAGTAAATAGAAATTAATAGTAATAACAAAGATGATAATAAATTCAACAAAATTCATACAATTATCTTCACAATATAGTAATTCAGAAAGGTGGATTTATTAAAATAATCAACCGAGTAACAACTGAGTCTACGCAGTTGCAATCCCCATGTCAAATCCCAACAAATAAAACAACAATATCAGAAAGCAGCAGTCGAAGAGGAGGAGGGTGAATACGAAGAGAGGAATTGGAATAAAACGCTGAATAAAAAAATCTCCAACATAATGATGTTTTACAAGAATTTATTTCGTTATACCAGAAATTCCATCAATCATAATCAATTAAAGTATCTAAAAGGTATTCGATTTATGTTGATGACCTTATAAAAGATGTATGATGGACATGCGAGCGAAGACATAGTATATACTGGTCTTGAGAGGACGCAGTAATGATATCTCCGGAAAATCTATTGTTTATAACTGCAGTGACGTGCTCTTAGAAGAATGGAAGCACTATTGGAAGCATCTTTGGAAAGATTGGAAGCATAATTTTCTAATAAAACCATTTTGGATTGGAAGCTTCCAACCAAATTTTCATACTATTGGAAGTACAAGTCATTACGGGTCATTACGGGTAATTAATTTAATCAAAATTCCTTCCAAATTTATTGTGTAATTACCGAATGTATAATGGAATTCACAATACGATCTTGATAACATGGCACATCAAAGGATGGGTTTGGATAAAGAGATATGTTATGGTGTAAGTTTTGTTTTTAGTAGAAAATTTATTTTTAAAAACTTTGTTACGTAACAATATTATTGGCATTATCATCTTTTTCGTATAGATTTTTTTCTGGTTGAGATAGTCATTTGTCAAAATTATATAAACCAAAATCACCAAGATCTGATTTTAATTATTATAATATGAATTTATTCGGTGGCGCCTGTATAGTGCTATAAAGTTAGAGGGAAATTAAGTTAGCAATGGTGAGACCACAGTGAAAAACTGTACTTATAACAGTCTAAAGGCAGCGAAATTCCTTGTCATTCTTCCGAGAACGATACAAAAAGCATTTAATGGAAGTACTAGCAAAAGGCGACTGTACTTATAACGGTTCAGAGGCAAGGCAGCGAACTCCTTGTCATTCTTCCGAGAACAATACAAAAAGCATTTAATGGAAGTACTAGCAGAAGGCGACTGTACTTATAACAGTCTAAAGGCAGCGAAATTCTTTGTCATTCTGATACAAAAAGCATTTTATGGAAGTACTAACAGAAAGCGACTGTGCTTATAATGGTCCAAAGGCAGCGAAATTCCTTGTCATTCTTCCGAGAACGATACAAAAAGCATTTAATGGAAGTACTAACAGAAGGCGACTGTACTTATAATGGTCCAAAGGCAGCGAAATTCCTTGTCATTATTTCGAGAACGATACTCAAATTATAATAGGTATGATCGAATAAATCCTTAAAATTTTATTATTTTTAAAAAAATATTTTCATACACAATAAAAGAAATCTTCATCAAATAATAGATCTTCCCTTTTTTTCTGTACATTCAGTTCTATGACTCAACAACTTGGGAACACAACCACCAGTATAATGTGTTACAAAAAATGTGTTTCCGTTTTATTATCGATATTTGAGGAATTACTTCTCATTTAATTGGTTGAAACATTTAATTGGTTGGAAAATCTGAAAAAATTAATAATCTAGTTTTTTTTAAGACTATGTTTAAAAAAAAAATTGGATTCGTAGTCCTAAAACCAAAACTGTGTTCCACATCTTCAATTAATAATCTTTAAAAGATTTGAATCCTAAACCAAAACTGTTCCACATCTTGGCTAATAATCTAGTTTTTTTTTTAATAATGAGATTATTGTTTGAGGTTTGAAACTGCCTAACCAAAAATAAATTATTGGTTACATCATTGGCTTTATTTTCTTTCTTTTCAATTTTACAATTTAGGATTACGAACCTATTTTCAAATCCAATTATTCTTAAAAATAAAAACTAGATTATTAATTTTGAGATGTGGAACAGTTTTGGTTTAGGATTACAGTACATTATTTGTACGAACCTATACAAACCCAAATTTTTAAATATAATAATCGTTCACTCAATCAAGTTAGTTTCAAATTAATTAAGGAAAATTTTTTATTTCTTTTGTATATTAGGCAATATATAAGAATTAATACATGAATGAATGATCAATTATTTGTAAGTATAATAAATTGAATTATGCATTAGAATCACGTGAAAAGAATGGACATTGGACAGAATAAGAAATATCTTACATTTAATTGTTTGAGTAAAGATTAATTGTTTGAGTGTAAAATTATTAATTTGTTTGAGTGAAGTAAAATGTAAAAAGGAAAAAAGGGAAATAAATAATTTATTATATTTTAATTTTAAAATGTTTGAAGTTTTTGTTATTATTATCATTGTTATAACATTTATTATTAAGAATAATTATAATAAAGGAATTATCAAACCGATTCGGGACAGTCTTTGATGTACTGAACATGCCACGTTTCCGCGTTAATTCTATTGTCTTTTTTTAAAAAAAAGATCTACTTAAAACTCAAAATTTATTTTTACATAATTTTTTTTTACGGAAAGATGTGATAGATGTTACTATAATTACTATAAAACCTTACGGGCTTTAAAAAATTCCGGGAAAATCAAGAAAATGATTGGGTAGTATATTTATAATAAAGAAAAACCCGAAAACCCCGTATTGAGTTTCATGTTTTAAACTTCATGATTGTTACACGGTCCATCGTTCCCTACTTCCTTTCAACGATTTCGGCGCAGATTTTTTCGCCTTTTTTTTTTTTTTGGATCACATGATGAAAATATAAAAGGGGGATTTACACTTTTTCGATCAAGAACTTCTTGATAGAAATGTTAAGATCATTTAATTTATTTTTTACTAAAATTATATAAAATACCTAGAATATTCTTAGTATTACATATCACAAGAAAAAAAAAAGAAAAAAAGAACAGGTTTTTCTTTTAAACGATGCCTAGAGAGTATACAAACATTATGTTCCATATAAGAAATAAAAGATTTATTCTTTTTTTTTTTTTTTTTGCCAAGAAAAATCCATATACAGGGTAAAAGTTATTATTGGAAGATAAAACAATCGAATTATAATCATTTGACAAAATAGATAGAAACAAAGAAAATCAAACCTTTCAATACTTTTAAAAAAAAGCTTATTAGTAATTTTAATCGGAGATTTAACAAATTAACATCCGTACAATTTTTTTTGACATAGGATAACAAAATTGATTTATTTAACTTGAAAATGCAAAAAAGAAGATTCCTGCATTAGATAATCCCATGATATGTAAAGTAAAGTAGAAACTACATTTACGAAATAGAAAAGAGGGAATAAAAGAAAGAAAAAGAAAATGTTTGTGTATCGTATGATATAGTCAGGCGACAAGCAAAAAGTTAAATGATCATGACTTGTAAACTTACAGGTTTTATTTTAATTTCATTTGAGAATAAAAATAACTTGTTGTTTAACGGTTAAAATGAGTAATGAGTTAAAATGAGTAATTGTACTTAAAAAGCAATAAAAAATATTTTAATTAATTTATTTATTTTAAAGTTCATTAAAACTTTTTTCATAAATTCCCGGAGTAAAAAAGATTTTATTCCGCATAATATGCAACGGACGGTCTCCATGCATTTGATTCCTGATATATTAATCAATTTTAATCGTTTCATTCGGTTTCGAAAGATTAAAAGAGGAAATGATCTACCATTAAAGTGATTCCAAAAAGAGAAAACGATTGCTTTTAAAGAATTTTACAAATAAAGATTATCGAATTCACATGATATAGTCACGGTTATTATTGGTATTTTATTGGTAATTGGATAAATTTGTACATGAATTTATACATGAAATTTATACATGAAATTTATACATGAAATTTATACATGAATTTTATACATGAATTTCATATTCATACATGAATTTATATGTAAATACGTAAATCATACATACATGAAATTTATTACATTTTTTTAATTTTTGTATTAAGATTTGAAACATTTCAATTAAAAAAGAGGAGGTTCTTACATGGCAGGAAGATTTCTTTATTTAGGTAATAAACAAGTAAAAATAACTTAATTGGGTTTACTAGTAAATTATAGTAAATTAGGTAAATTAATTTCAAAAATTACTTTAAATTACTTTATACTTTGTAAGAGTCGTAAAATTTACTTTTTTAATAATAAAATAACGGGATTATTACCGTATTTACAATATTTGTTGGTGTCTATCCAAGTACAAAATCTCCACATGGCAGAATTAAGCTTATCTTAATAAAAATTAATTTAGGTTCATTGTCAACTTATTTTTATATATTTAGTTAATTTAAATATGGAATTTACTAGAACTTATACTTGAATTGCTACGTCAAAAAGTATGCATCTTTTGAAACCGAACTTCCTTGCAGATTTCACATATGACCAATATTCTTTTTTTTTTTTTTTTTACTTCCATTTAAAAAAAAAAAAGATTTAAGTTAATTATTAATAAATAATATCCTTTACGGTTATGATTTTCCCTTTTTTAAATTTAAAGTTTTTATTTTATTACTTAAAAGAGTAGAAGATTATAATTCATTTTTAAAATCTTTTAAAGAAGAAAAAAGAGTACATAAAAAAAAAAACTTTAAATTTTATCAATTACGCTTAATTTATCCAACGGTTCCATCCAAATAAATGTATATTTACCTGTTATGTTCCTGTTATTGACTTATTAGTAAGAGTTAATATTTATTTTAAAATAACGGAGATTGAAAAATTTTCATTATTAGTTTTTAATTTACCATATTTTGATTTATTGAAATCTCTTTAGAGGTCATGATTTACATCATACATTATTATTACCTTATTCCGCTTGTTCTTGTAAAGTTTAAAGTATTCCTTATTATAAAAAAAGAAAAAGAAAAAGAAAAAAATTTTTTTATAACTGTATGAAAAGATTAAATTTGGTTATATCAACAAAGAATACAATATAATAATATATATATATATATATATATAATATACTGTATATATATGTATATATATTATATTATATTATTTTAATTTTTTTTTTTTTTTTT